TTATGTATCATTGTATGAAACAAAACAACTTATATGATTTTCTTTTCATTTCAAGATTAAAATAAAATAAATTTAATTAAATATTAAATATTTTTAGGATTTGTATTTAGGAAGTGATTATACTATTAAAATACAAAACACATAAAGATATATCAAAATCGACCGCATAGCGCAGTGGATTAGCGCGTCTGACTTCGGATCAGAAGGTCGTGGGTTCGACTCCCACTGTGGTCGTTTTTCCCTTTCCTTTTTGTTTTTCGATATTATATTTATACCCCTCGTTCTTCTTCAACTCGTCATCTTTTGCCCCAATATTTCGCTTTTATCTTTCTGCTCCATGTACTTACATTTTTTTCACTTTTACCCCTTGTGTTTTCTTTTGTACCACTATGCTACCTAGACTTATTTTTCTTTTCACCTTTGTACAAGTATTTTAAGTACGTGATATTAGTTAAATACCTTAGGTGCTGTTTACCAAACGCTTAAATATGAAAATGACTAAAAATCTTACCTGGTAAGAGCAAATGCAAGAATCGAGAGTTTTACCCGGTAAGTGAGAACGATGACTCTTAGCATTGTTAGCACTTACCGGGATAAATTGTTGCATACGATGCGTTTTAGTGAATAAAATCTTACCTAGTAAGTAAGCTATAGTGTTGAATTTTACCGGTAAGTACTTATCAGGTAAGTGTTTAGGTAAACGGTCTCTTCCCAAAAATCATCATGTAATAGACAAATCAGATACGTTAAAACAAAACAAGCCCAACCCATGGCCAACATACTCAAACCCAAGTTTAATTCTACAATTATATCACATCAAAACCAAAACCAAAACCAAAACCAACTGTACCATTAACTGTTAAGAATGCTTTCCATTTTCTTTGCTCCAAACTTTGTTGTTCCATTGTCTACTTATATGATAGACCATCATATTGCTATAATGTCTTAAAACCAACCATGAAAACTCAAATGCAACAAGAAAGCCGAGCCGAACACGTAGTTTCGACACCTAGAAACATCAATCGATAAATTACATACAGAACAACATCTAAACATCAAAAACCTGAAACAAGAACTAGACGATTATCATGCTGTAGCAGCAGATGCTGGGATTGGCTTCACCGCAGTTTGAATCCTTCGGAACGCCACCTTCACTCGTTCCTTCAATCCCTCGTTTTCGCTCTCAACTTCTCCATTCAATTTATCGAGATACGCCACATTATCATCCACACTGATCACCAACCGCCCGTCCTCCCCGTATTTCACGTTCCCAAACAAAGACACGAGCAGGGCGTGCACGATCTTCTCCACTTTCTTCTTCTCTTCCGCTTCATCTTTCACCGGCTCCGTTTCTACCACCACCTTTGGCATTTCCCTACTGGCATTCAACACCAGCGCCACAATCGAATCCGACACCATATCGCTAATAGGGTCAGCCTGCCAATGAAGCGACAGATGATTCTCGGAATCCTGCTTTACGGTAACCTGCTCGTGGACCCGCAAAGTTGGAACCCCGGATTCGTCGTCGGTTGAAGACTCGACACTCTCGTAAATCTGCTTGAGTCGGTGTTTGATGACACCGAAGGCACCTGAATAAGGGATGGTGATCCTTTGGGTGACGTTAGCAGTTGATAGCTGAGAGAAAACGTGCAAATCGTCGGGAGCAATGATTTGATACGAGAACCCTTTTCGCACCAATAAGCCGCTAACGCTTTCACCCTCTTCAGGGGTTCGTTCAGCCAGCTTCCCGATTGTTTTTGCCATTTTCTCCGAATTGAAGTGCATTTCAACGGATTGGCAGTTCTTTGGAGTGATGATTTTGGTGTTGCGGTCTGCAAAAAAGGTTACGAGCTTTTGCTTGAGCCTTCCCATTTCATTGGCTTCTCCATGAACGAGAATTATGTTTGGGGGCATAAGTTCTTCAAGAAAAGTACTGGTCTGAGCATAATCTGCGTGAGCGGAGAAAGAAATGTAATGAACCTGAATGTTGAGTGGAGCAGTCAAGCCGTTCATGAGTGTCACTTCTTTAGGCTCGTTGATGATCGTTTTCGCCAAAGTCCCTTCAACAACGTAACCAGGGATCACACATGCATTTTTCTTCTCGCCACACCATTTGTCAAACAACTGTCTAGATAACCCACTTTGGAGACTACCCGGGCTTGCCATCACCACCGAGGGTCCCACATCGTTGAATTCCTCAATACTCTTCAGGGGAGATATGTGTTTGAAATCAAACGGGTTTGAATTCGCAAACTGAGTTCGGATCCTTTCATTCATTGCATTGATGTAGGTTTGATAGACGGCCATGCACCTTTTTGCAAGTGGGGATGCATAATATATGGGGACATTGTGTAGCTCGGGGTGGTTGGACCAGTATTCGTCGAGGATGAGGAGTAGTTCTTGTGCACGGCCAAGGGCAAAAGCCGGAATGAGAACACGTCCTCCTTGAGAAATGGTTGAGTGGATGACGTCCGTGAACCGCTTTTCACGAATGTGCCGTGGTTGATGAAGCTGAACACCATAAGTGGACTCGATGATGCATATGTCTGGAGAAAACTGTGGTAGCTCAGCTGCTCGAAGATGGCGGTCTTCTTCACGTGAGTAATCACCGGTGTAGAGTACACGTACACCAGCAATGTCAACCATGAACATAGCTGCACCAAGAACATGGCCGGCTGTGTAACACCAGAAACGGATGCCGTTGACTTCTAACGTTTGATGGAAGTCAATTACCTGCAGAAGGTGGACATTAAATTATATATTGCTTTAAATTGCATCGAGTGAGGGAATAAAAATCTCCTGCCCCCAAATCTGACATTTCCTCCTTGTACACCAATCATGAGAAAATACATATGAAAACATTCTAGGTGAGCCCAATTCTTTTGGGCCCCCATTTTAATTAGGGAACTTTTTAACCATATTCAGAAAGAAAACCCGTACTTTGATATCCTACTGAGTGGCCTTTTTTCTCTAGAAACCGAACTGACCCAGCATAAAGTAGAGTGGGGAGTGTATGCAGACCTTTTCTCTACCCCAAAGAGGGACATGACCACCTCTGATTTGATGAAAACCTAATGGATATAAGGATATTTTCTGGATCGTACAAATGTTTTAATCAATTCTTTTAGAACTTCACACAGCTAGTATATGAACCCAAATGGTATCTACTGGCACAGGAGAAAACGAAACGAAACCAAACAAACCCAGTATATGCCACACAAGGTAGGGTATGGAGGTAGGAGGTAGGATGTAGGATGTAGGATGTAGGCAGACCTTGCCTCTACCCAAAGGGTTTGTGAAAAACCCCCAGCTTGCAGAACAAAGATACAAAGAAGCTAAGAGAAGTATATATGAACAGACAAATTGAATATCTGTTTCTAACTGGTATAAATAGAAAAATATGTGCAATTTGTCTGTTCACATATAGATAAATATATTGGATGCACAAATATTTCAGATTCAGATATTGTATACTGGATTTCTGTCATATCCACTTTGTATCTCATCTATTTGCAACCCCAGGGTCACTTATCACTAATGCTTATATCCAACACCTGATTATTAATTATGATGTTACCGTCTCCTACAATGTTATCTTTGTTTTCGGATAACCTAATTTCCTAGTGAGAATAGAAAGTCTACAGCCTGGTTTTCTCTCTTTCTAAAGCCTTCATAACCTAAAATCAATGTGTTGAAACTCGATTATAAATACCACAGTAGACCAAGTGAAATTGCATGTCTTGGCATGCCAAATTTCTGATTAATAATATTCACAAGTGCGTTGAAAGTTTAGAACACTTGATCAACTCTAAAATACCCCAGAGAATTCAATATGACATTAAACCACATTTATATTCAGGAATACTAAATCCCCAGCTCAGGCACAAGCACAGAAAAGTTACGAAAGCTAAGATGAGGGTTTGAAGCAATTTGGATATCAAACTCATTGAAGATCAAAGACTCTTTCTGGCTATCAGTATGCAGTTTAGGAATTTAGTTCCTTAGCTTAAAGTAGTAACACCATCCAAAATATCTGGAGCCAAGCATTATGTACTTTCAAAGTTTAAACTTTAAACCATTTTGGTATCAACAAAAAGAAACTCACCAATGCCAAGCTCGAGAAGATAACATTTGATGTTTGGATCAATTAGAACAAAATATAAACGAACCACAAATCTCATTAATTTTATAATAACTGAAATAAAGATGAATACATGAAGTTGATATATTGAAAATTTTGGGAAGCAGACCAACATTTTGGATTGAAACGATTGCATGTTTCAAACATGGAATGAGGAGATGTCTGCAAATAAAGTTCCATTACTGCAGTGTAAGCCATAGTGACATAGAACATACAAATGGACACAATCACTTGCAGAACTCTAGAAAAACCCATAAATTTTCTATTATACAACACTATGATACCAAGTTTTGGTACGAGCTGACTGTGCTCATTTTACCCTTGTCCACAATGTGTTAGCCTCATTATCTAGAATGTGCTTTCCCTACTTTCAAACTACTACCACATATAACAAGTACAAATTGGCAAGTAGAAAAGTTATACTTTCCCATTTTTTCTCCTAAAAAGTTGTCTGCAGATTCTGCAAGCCTAAATGTCAACCACCCCTAAATTGTCACTGAAGTTGGTTAAAACTATGTTTTATATCTAAGAATGAGTAACAGTAAGAATTTATTTCATATAGACATCTGACCTTACTTATATATTAAATACTTTTATTTTCCACGGCTTCAACAGCAGGGGAGAATGAGTTACAGTTTGACTTATACGTGAACGATGAAATAGCAACCATGTCTGATCACATATATCATGATAAATGGTGGTGCATATCACCACAGAGTTACATCTAGTTAGTTAGTCAAATAATTGGTAGGAAAATAAAATGAGAGAAGAAAGAGACTATTTTACCTGATGAGGGGTATTGGGGTTTATTTTTGTTTAGAGTTTCATTTTATGTCCTTTCACATTTTTATTCTGTCTTCTGAGGGTCCCATTTACATGATGTGAGGATACATGAAGATGTAATTTAGAAAACGAAGATTAGAACTCAAGTGATGGAACAAGTATATGAACTCATAGTATTTCCTACCATCCTCATCATATATGTATGTTTGGAAGTTCTTTAAGGATGCACAATGTTTTTGAAATCCCCTTTTAGGGCCACTTAGTTGGCTGCCTCGAAGTTAAGGATCCTCACTGCTTCAATTTCTCAACTTGTGTTCATTGATCAACCTTTTTCAACTAGAAGGTAATAGTTGCAGTCGTTTCTTTGTAATTGTCCCAATCGGACAATGAAATATCCATCTAGAAAAATGAGTGTAACAAAAGCTTAACTTTTCATATGTTAAAATATAATCTAAATAATTACATTTTATATACTTAATGAGTTGCTTAAGTGTCTGCTTAGGTGATTAAGCCCTAGAAGGTCACTTGATCTACTACCTCTGCTTAGTGCTTTTTAGAAAACTAGGGGTTGTTTGTTTACCTCTTAATAGTTCTATTAAGAGGCAACCTTTGAACCATTAAGAGGTGAATCTTGTTTGGCAAAAAAAAGTCTGCCTCTTAATGGTTCTGAAACCCTCTGAATGATTTTGTATCCTGGACCTCCCTTAACCATTAAGCGCCCTAATTTCATTGTAAGCAATTACCAAACAATTATATTTCATTTTGCACTATATCATGAGAGTCTCTTAATCATTCTGATCACTTAATCATTCTGCACCAACCATTCAGCAACTGCCAAACAGCTCCTAAGCATAAATAGCTATTCAGAATTACGCTAAATAAACAAATTTACAAAAAAATACCTCATGCCATGGCATAAGGTTCCTGATCTGGGATGTGATAAGTACAAAGATGCACCAGTTTTCTTAAACAGTAGCTTGTTGCATAAATAATTCAACTTTACTTCAATAAGGTTTAGGCAAACATAGTAACTGTAAAAACATACCTCAATTTTATCCATGGAACGAAGAATGTCTTGTTCATCAAATAACATATCCTCAACTGAAACTTTGCTTACTTTCACATAATCTGATAAAAGCAACTTGTAAATGGCCTTTGTTGCATGAGTCATGAAGACCCTTCCTTTGAATGTGGTCTGAAAAGCAACCAATTGTATTTAACTAACAGCAAAACATAACTTAAAACACGTGAAATACCCGTAAAATGTAATTGAAGCTCATTAGAAGTAGTAAAACCTTTTCTAGAAAATATGGAAGGGATGCAGCATGATCTAAGTGAAAGCTGCACAAGAATTGCAATATAAAGTTAAGAAGATAAAAAAAAAATTCAAGAAATAATTTTGAAGGCTGCAGAATTTGGAACCAAGGATGTGCATCACCACAATATAAAACAGAAGAAGCATAAAATGAACTCAAGAACATCCCTTAGCACACCAATCCACTCCCATCCCCAATTTAGAATCTAAACCTTCCAAAATTCTCAAGTATACAAAATCCGTAGTCACTGGAACAAGAGTGGTTTTAAACAGAGGGCCACAACATCAGTTGACTTGTTTCATTCATTTAATGTCAGTTGTAAGTAGGGACAAATCTCTCCCGAAAACTTACGGAGAACCATGAGACCTTATTTAGCAGATAGGATTCTATCAGTTAAAACATCTCAAATCTCCTGATATAGGCACAAAAAACAGAGAGCTAAGAAAATGTAATGAGAGCCTGGTCATTGATATCCTTGTTCTTCCTATAACAAGAGTTTAAGGTTACATTGAGGTAATAGGAACATCGAGATCTAATTTATGATGTTCTGTAACTTTCAGAGCTTGTGCATTGTGTAATGAAACATTAAATCCAATTTTTGGTTTATAACAACACCCATGTGCTCTATAAACTTTTACCAGTACTTCAGTGTCAGTGCTCAAGCTGTGTTTCTGGATGAAAGTGGGAGGCTAGTACAAGCCTCTGCTCCTTGCTTATTAAAATTTATCATTGTAGATTGCTTGTGTTGTTGTTCCTCTATAACAACTCCTTCAGCTTTTTTCTAATCATTTTCATTCCACATATCATCATATCGTGTACAAAATTTCTGGTTACTTGCCTGTTTTTGTTTTATCGGCAAGTAATTACATAAATGGGTGAGGTAACATTAGGAAGGGATAGAAGGAACCAGGAAAGGCATCAGACAATCAGCTGGTGTACTTCTGGAAATGCTAAAGTAACCCATCTTTCAGACTAGTTGATTACAGCAATTTGCTAGTTGGAAGTCCATCCAGAAACATAACCTAAAGCAATATTTAGTGGGTATCCTCAAATCAAATATCCTTGTTAATTGACAAAAGTCCTTTCCTTTTACAACATTGTAGTAACAATAGAACTTGACACAGACCAGTTAAGTAAGAAGTATTGTAAAGAAATTGTATTCCTTACCTTCCTATTGAAAGAACACATCCTTTGACTTTCATATCAAACGTACTAATTTTCAACTTAGATGTGAATTTATAACTTAAAAAGAGAACATCTACCATCATAATAAACAATATAACTGCTATGAACAACAAAAGATGGTGTCAAATTTGTAACATAACTGATATCAACTTCACATTTTAGCTTTGTTTTCTAACAATTTCCATTCACATATTGTTATGTCGTGTACAAAATTTAGTTAAGTGGATACTTATCTAATTTTCTGTTATTGGCTAAATTAACTAGATAAAGGAACCAGGAGGGGTATTAGACTACCAGCCTTCTTTTCTGGAGCAGATAGAGCAAAACCACTTACTGAGTAATGAGAAGAACGTCGATGGTAGAAGGGTCGATTTCGTCGAAGTAAGGCAAAGCAGCCATGCCCGAAAACGCCGGATGAATTCCACAATCAAACTATCAACAACACAATAACATCCAAAAACAAGTTCTGAGAAACCCGAAATACGAACAGAAACACACAACACAGAAAAATAACAACCAAATTAACTAATTTTTTTACCATAACGGTTTTCCCTTTGAAAGTCATGAACACGCATGATCTTCCCACTTCGCTTCCTGCTCCTAATGGAGTTATAGTGAGTTGATCGGATTCTCTAGTCACCATGGAATCACGCCTCTTCAATGAGGATGATGATTGTTGTGGCCCAGTTGACGCCATTTTCATGCACAGATACGAGGGATTTGGTGTAGAACCCTAATTTGAAGAGCTCTTGCGCGCGCTCAGTGATGACAAGTTGGGAAGAAGTGTTCGGATGATAACCTACTTTTATTTATTACTATTATATTGTCTAACAATATTGTAGATACTAGTTTTGTATCCGCGTGGAATGAGGTGGAAACAGTGAATTTTAATGATTACGAAGTTTTATTGGTTTTATTAGAGAAGATTTAACGATGATATAAGTTACATTTGATTTTTACATATTAATACAATTTGAATAAATAAAAGTTATGGTTCCAATTACAGTTTATCGATAAAAAAAAATTGTATGACAGTTTAAAATCCAATATATTTAAACGACTCCACAAATGTGTTCTATTTACATCAAGAGTAAAGAATCAAGATATTGAAAGCGAGACCGAGACTTCTAGAACAATTGAGTGGGAGATGAATGAATAATTCATGGTGAATATTATTTTGAATCTCATATTGGAAGATGTGGAGAAGACAAAGGTACGAGAGAATAAAGACATGAGTGAAAGTTGTCAAAAGCATCTTTGGAACATGAAAAGAAAAAGTAATAATGTACATTGGTAACTTGTATTATATATATATATATTTTAATTATAGATTAAGAGATTTTAAGATTAAATGCATAAAGTAGTAGTACTTAATGCATTATGAGTTGTTTCTAAGACTTTCAAGACTTTGTGCATAAATGTATAATACTTTGTACATTAAAAATTGTTTTTAAGACTTTTGACAAATCTGGTTTATAAGGTGGTATAAATTAGAATTGATTATTTCAATATCAAACACAATATTTAATATTTATATAAATCAAATCAAATATATGATATGTTTTATTCGAGACACGACGGATCTTATGAGAAATAATATTATGGTGAGAAGCGTAATAAGATATATGAATCCTGATCACTTTTAATCTTATATTCATCCATGAATCGCATTTTTGAAGAAAATTGATCTAAGATGCACCTCATTAATGTTGACATTTAATTATGATTGGTCTAAGGATAGAGATCTATTCTTACGCTTTCTTTCACCGTAGTTCAACCCTTATCTGGGATATTGTATACTTCGAAGTTTCAACGTATTTTATATTTCTTTATGTGAATGTTAAGATGTGATAAAGGCATTGTTTGTTTTTCGTTTTCAGCCCTTAATCATATGTTTTGTAATTCAAACTGTCTGTTCTTAACTTCTTTTCCTTTTTTTGACGCTCTTATCTCTTGTTAAAGTCCTCTGGAAAAAAATGGTAATCAAATCTCTTATTTTCTTCTTAAACGCTCAACCTTTATCACATCTTATCAACTTCAAAGAACTCATCGCCTTCATTCATCTGTTCTCAATCATCCACCTTCATCCAAGATTTGCAGTCGATCGATTTTGGCCTTCAATCAATTTGCTCTCAATCGATCGATTTGGCCTTGAATCGATATGCTTCATCCAATATTTGCAATCGATCGATATCTCTCTCAATCCAAGATATGTTTCATCCATCATCTTGACCTGCAAAGGATAATATTTATCTAACATTAACACAAGAGCTTCATCTAATATTTTCGAAGATAATATTGTTTAACACAAGAGATGCATACTATGGTCGACGATCCAAGATAGAACCCTGGATGAAACCACCAAAAAATATCGAAAACCGAATCAATTTTAGGTCATCAATCTTTCTTTATGCTCTAGTTTTTTGAAGCTTTCACCAATGATTAAGCTAGGTTACTGCAACGCATTATTGTTACAAAACCAATTGTTAAGTTTTCATGTGAAATGCAACGACTTCAGTGACGCCTACAAACTATTCGATGAAATACCTGTGAGAAATGTCACTTGGAATACTTTGAATTTGTGATTCTCATCTGGGTTTGTGTTATTTTAAAAGAATGTTGCTGGAAAGGACCAAAGCTGATCATATTACTCGCTTGAATTTACTTTTATAAAGATTGTTATTTGAATAGCTCTCTTGTTTTTTTATGCTAAATTTAGGTTTGTTTATGAATAAAAAGGGGTTTTTGATGATCTTTTAGGAGAAAGATTTGGTTTTATGGAATGTAACGGTGTCTTGCTACTTGTTGAACGGGTTGATCGATGACGGTTTTTCAATCTTGTGGATGATGCGACCAGGAGGGCCTAAGAGCGATGATTTCACGTATACAAGTTTGTTGAATTCTTGTGCTAGTTCAGGGTATCACGAACTGGGAATGCAAATCCATGGTGTTGTTCTTAGATTTGAACTCGATCAAAATCCTGTGGTAGCTAGTACGCTTATCGGAAATCAAACCAATTTCAAACGCTTGTTAGTTAAAAAAACAGTCTCATTAATTCAAATTTCAGATTGTCAGTTTACAAAAACAACATTCTTATTGATTCAAATTTCAGACTTCAACACCATATCTTATAAAATCATAAGTGAATTAGCAACTCTTAAAAAACAAAGGCCACATAAGTCATATCACTTTTTATTAATAAAAAATGATGTTGGAATTTAAAAGCAAAATAAAAAAAACTGTTTAATTTTATAAATTGATAAATATCTGAATAAATGTAATTATTTATTTTTATTATAATGTTGAATGTATGTAAAAGATCACTTTTACTAATAAACATGTAAAATAATTATTATAGAAATCTTTTTTTAATTATAGTACTATTTTTTAACAATAAATAACATAAAATTAAAATGTTATATAATATATTGTTTATCACTGTTTTGTGACAATTCGATATTGGTGTGTTATAAAAATAATTGTTTAAGTTAACGCATTTTATTTATATTAATATTATAAAATATTTGACAAAAATTCTTAAAAATTATTTTTATATATGATGTACTTAAAATTCAAGATTACAAGTAATCGTACATAAGTATAACTTATTAAAGCTCTATTTTCAAATTCGTGTAACCAACTGCAAATAAACATAATCAAATACGGGATAAATATCTCATTTTAAATATAAAAATTCTAAAATATAGTTAGAATAATAATTGAGTTCTAACAAAATACTTAATTATTATATTTTTAGAAAATTTTATTTTCAAACCAAAAATAAATTGTTTTCATTATTAAACCTAAATTGAAATATATAAAAAAATTGAAATAAAGAAACTACACAAAAAAAGACAACTTTTAAATAGTTAATTTGATATCAATATCGATATTTAAAAAAAATAATTATGATTTATTCAAATTTATATTTTATTCAAAATAAAAACATTATCACTTTCTCAGAACCACATAAAACCGTAATTTATCGATTCAGACAAAGAATAAAACGAACTATTTATAATCGAGATGTATCTTGCTGTATTGCATTAATACCCTTCTAACTATTAAATAATAATAACAAGGGTAAAAGAGGAAAAGAGGGTTGAAAATTTTCAAATAAAAATTCTTATTTTTTCAACAAATTTCAGCTTTTATTGGTATATGTAATAAGAAAATTAGAACTGAAATAATTTAAACCAAAATCTATGTCTTGTTTATTTTATTACAGTTATTAATGAATAATTAATACATTTTTAATGAAATGTATAATGAAATAAACATGACATTTATTGTTTTGTATCATGAATATAATGATATAGAGGGGCGGACTTATCAAAGCTCGAGAAAGTTCTTATACACCCGTTAAACAGATTTTTTATAAGTAGAAATTTTCCTCGGTATAAAAGATATACACGCTAAACTTTGAGTGGTGATCTGATATATTAAAAAAATACAAGGGACATCAACCAAAAAATGGGAAAAAGTCCCTCGAAATGAACAGAAAAATTCCTTATAAGTCAACCAAAAAACTTAAAAAAATCCCTCGTAGTGGTGGAATTCGTCTCAAAATACACCAATCCACCATAAAAGGTGCACCTGTTTGGAAAAAATCTTGTGTTTGTCGCTACAAATATCTATACTACCTTTTTAAGTAAATTTGCTGAATGTCTTAAAGTCTTAAAAAAATACAAACTCTAAAGCACAAGTACTTGTTTTTAAAGCTGACTTTTAAATCTAAAAAGGTACAAACTCTAAAGCACAAAGTATTTGCCTTATTAATCAAGTACATTTTGAGTTCCCTGCAGACCCTCGCGCTCAAAACGACGAATCAGGCAAATTCGCTCCCCAAGATGACGATCCATCGCTCTCACTCTCGCTCTCTCTATTTGAATCATCACTATATTAATCCACCCTTCAATCCACCACTCCATCATCATCTTCTTCAACCTTCAATCCTGCCTCCATCGTCATCTTTTACCACCTTCAATCCTACCTCTATCGTCATCTTCTTCAACCTTCCAGGTAATTCTGTTTAGGCTTATGTCGAGCGGTCTATGTATGATTAATGTGCAGAAAATGGTTAAAATTTGATTTTTAGGGTTCTGTTTACTTCAATCCATTTGATTTGGTAGCTTTTTAGGGTTATGTTTTCCATTTGTATTAATCTTTCCCACCAAGTAAAACCAGAACCCTAAAAAAGATCCCTAAACAGAACCCTAAAAAAGATCCCTTGATTCTACTTTGATGCATCTGTTGTTCGAACATCCTCAGCAGTCAGGTAGCACATTTCCGTTATTCTACCCAGCTCATTTTCTCCTTTCTTAATTAGGTTGTCTTACATCTCCACTCATATAAATACACATTGTTAATCAACATATAAAGGAAATTAGTTTATAAAAGGTTATAATATGACTGTATAATATGTTCTGAATGAATTGTATAATATTACTGTATAATTTGTTCATGAAGAAAACAAACGGATTGGAGTCCTGTCAAGTACCTGTTCACACTGATACTGTTTTGATTGGATTTGTATTTGCATATACACTGCTATTGTTATTCCCTTTAGGCATATACAACACTGTTTACACTACTACTGTTTTGATTGGATTTGTATTTGCATATAAAATGCTACTGTTATTCCCTTTTGGCATATACACTGCTACTTATGTTATTATTTTGATTGGATTTGTATTTGTATAATATGATTGTATAATCTGTTCATGAAGAAAACAAACGGATTGGAGTCTTGTCAAGTACCTGTTTACACTGCTA